AAAGAGAAATTGTGAGAATATACAATATTCAGAAAAAATAGATGAATTGGTGAGAGTGAGAGTTCAAAGAAAGAAAAGAATTCAGTGGTTTATTCTGAAACTCCATTTCAAAAGAAATGTAGCCGAAAAAAGACCAGTGTCCCATTATTTTCAATTGATGATTACATTCAAGGATCATCATAAAAAAAAAAAAAAAAAAGAAGAACAAGGCTCTTCATCTTCTCAAAATACTGCCCCTTTAACCTTACTTTAAAAAAAAAGAAAAAAAATTCACTCAAACCAAAAATACTCCAAGACAGTCAAAACCTTCAATATTTTAACAAGCCATTCAAGCTTCTAGAAAATTAACTCAAATTAAACCCTCCAAATACTTTTCAATATTTTCTTAAATCTGTGTATATTCCAGTCTTTGAAATGGAAATATCGTGGATAAATAGATATTCATCTCTAAATGAAAGTATGTATGTATGTGTGTGTGTGTGTGTGTGTATATATATATATATATATATTATTACTTTATAAACAATTATAAATTTGCCGAGTATACACTTGGACAAAATGTGGACTCGTGAAGTTCGACAAGGCTTCTTTGAGATTATTGTGCATGATTATGGAATTGGGTCTGTTGACCCCAAAAAGTGCGCCAACAGATGCCGGTCCCACCCGCGCTTGCGTGGGCGAATGTCCAACACCCTAAGACAAATGGAATGTAATTCAGCTTATAAGACTGTAGCTCGACTCATAAAGATGTCATTCAACTCAATTAATGATATGAAATTAGGGATTTGTTAGTGTAGAGGGTAGAAACACGACCACCTAAGCTTTATTGGGCTCAGTTTACCAACTAATCGACGCTACAAAGAACACCTACCCAAGAACTCTCAAATGGTTCCTCCACTTATGGTTGTTGTGGATTACTCACCAAGAAGACCACAAAGGAAGCTAACATCACACAGGAATAAAACCACAAAGGCAGTAGAGGTGAGCAAATCGAGAGTGGCCATAGGAGTGAAGGAGAAGAGGCAGTGAGTTTGCAACATGGGGGCACAAGAGAGATGGGCCATTTGACCAAATGGAATGGACAATAAGGTAAGTAAGCTTAGGGTAAGGTAGTGGCCCAAAGGCCCAACACAAGAATAGCGGGCTACAAATAATGGGTACCATTATTTAGCCGTTCAAATAAGTGGGATGTGTCATAAACAACGCTAATAAATTAGGTTGCTTCGAATGACCCACACAAATTGGGGATTGGTTGTCCCATTTGAGTCATCGATATAACTTTCAATCATTTGGTTTAGGCCGACTGAAAATAAAACCAAGTTAACATCAAAATTCGAAGAGGCCGTTTGACAATAATTTGCTTAACAGTTGGTCAATGAGATGCAACGTAACTCACTTTTGCACATAGCATTGATTTGTGCAAGAAAAGCTCGAATTTGTATTAGAAATTTTAATTGCAGATAAAGAAAGGGTTAATCAGAATGATTGAAATCATTTTGACGTGAGCTTTAATGCTGAAAATTTGCATTTATTAATTATTAATTGATTAAGAAAATAAGTAAAAAAATTAAGTAAAAATTGAAAAATGAGACTCACCAAACTTTAAATTTTTTCGAATGGATATTGTACTTTCAATTCTGTTTTCTCGAACAGCAATTGAACTTTTGTTTTTTTAATAGTCAGTATAATTTTAACTTGTTTTTCATCTAAAATTTCGAATCATTTGAAACACTAACAATTTCAAACATTGACTTTTAAACGGAAAGAGAGCAGGGTGATGGAAAGGATAGCAATAAAGTGAAGTATATTGTAAAATGTCTAGAAATATTTTTCTTGTAACCTGTTGTATAAAAATTATACTTGAATTATCATTTCTAAATTTTTAGCAGGCGTCGGTTTTATAAGTTTAGTAGCCAAAATTCGACCACATTTAAGTATAGTGAGCAATCGATGACGTTTTTAAAAGTATAGTGAGCAATCATATACGTTTTTAAAATATAATAGCAATCAAAGACATCTTCCAAAGTACAATGAGCAATCAAAAACACTTTTTCTTTTGTGAAAATTTGGTGTACCGTGAGTTACCGTTCCGTTAGTGTTGAGCAATGAATATTATATCAATGAGTAACTTCCAACATTTTAATAAATTTAATAACTAAAATTGGACATTTGAAACTTTGATGAGTAGTCGAAGATATAAACATAAGTTTAGTAATTCTTGGGACAATAAACTCGAGAATGTATGATTAAAAGTAAGTTTGAAAAAAAGTTTTGATATAGAATAAAGTTATTTGTACAATTGTGGTGACAACATTGACGTTGTCAAAAGCAGGACCATTAGTTTACAAAACAATTTTTAAGATGAATGTGACGTTGCCATGTGTTGTCAACAAAAATTGTGAAAAAAATATTATATAAGTAGTATGATTTTTTGAAAGGATTAATAGTAGAAATCCCCCTAAAAATATTTTCACATACGATATAACTCTCTATCCATAGGAAATCGCTAGAAAATTCCCCTGTTTGAAACCTTTTGTGTGAAATACCCCCTACCGTCAAGATCTTTCGTATTTGCCATTAAAAGCAGTAAAAAAAAAAATCAAATTAAAAAGAATAATTGCAATTGTAGTATCCAAACATTTATTTTTTTTTGCAAATTATACCTAAATTTTTTTTTACGTGCCACACATAATCCCAAATCTTCAAAACTTTATTTTCTTCCCCCTTCAACCGTACCCATATTCAGGCAAATTATTCTGTAAGTTGGCAAGTTCGATCTTCCTGTGACCCAAGCAACTAGCTAGGTATTTAAGTTGGTTCCCTAAACATTCCGCTTTAATTGGAACAATTAAACAATTAAAATTTTGGAAAAAGTTGAGATTTTTACTCTATAATAAAAGTACAGCATAATTGAAGCAAGAAATGTGGATCTCAAATACCAATTACCAATAAGTTTTTAATTTATTCAATTGGAATTTTTTTAAGACTTTGATGAACAAATAGTGGAGATTTTAGTAGACGTTTATAGACTCTCACTTTAAAACTTTTATAAACTTTTGTAGAATCGAAAAAACTTTTCGAAAACTTTCATTTGAAATAAAATTCACATGGATTTAGTGCAATAATGTGAAATTTTCACATACGAGTAATTCCCACAATTTCCCTATATATATATATATATATATATATATGTATGTATGTATGTATGTATGTATGTATGTATGTATGTATGTGTGTGTGTGTGTGAGAGAGAGAGAGAGAGATAAAAAAATAAATTTAGTATTCAATATTATTAATATAATGTACCTTAAAAAAAAATAAAAAAAAAATCAGTGCATTTAAATTTAACTATAAATTTGTCATACAAAAATTAATAATATAATAACCAGGGGAGATTTAAAACTTTTTTCTGGGAGGTTTCTCGTCCGAAGAGCAATGCTCTACTCTAATGCAGCAGGCCATGGCTCACATATCTCATAAGAAAATAGATATTTTTCACCCAAAAAAAAAATGAATGAAAAAAGAAAAAGAAAATTATAAGAATCCAATTTAATTTTTTCATAAAAAAATAGAGATAACAAAAAGAGAAAGATAAATAGAAACAAGTATAATCGATAGAAAAAAATAATAATCATACCTCTAATATTCATAGAAGGAAAAATGAAAGATAATTTTTTTGTGAAAGTCTCTCAAAATCTCGTGATTAATGAAGACAAATTTTAAGTTTTTATGTGAGTACTTTTTACTTATAAATTAGTATTCCAGAGACTTTTATAAAAGTCTTTAGAAGTCATTAAAATTTGAATACTCCAAAACTTATAGAGACTTTTAAAAAAATTTTAATTAAATACACCGTGACTTTTAGAGATTTTTAAAAGTATATAAAAGTCTCAATTGAATACAACAATACTTTTAGAGAGTTTTAAAAAGTCTACATTAAATACTCATAAACTTTTTAAATCTCAAAAAACCATTAAAAATTTTAATTGAATACACCCCCTTTAGGCCCGTGAATCTCCCTTTCTCCCATTTCCATCCCCTTCTCTTTCCTCCAGCAAATTCCCAGCCGCCTCATCGGCTGCGCGTGCCTTCTTCTTCGCCTCCTTGGCCTTCAATGCCTGCAATTTCAAAATAATTGTAGTATGCAACACCAAAAAATACCAACTCATACCCGATTAAGTTTACAAGAGTCACTGTATCCTTAATCACAGACCATAAAAATCGATAAGCAACCAATCCTTCACCACACTAGAGACATTCATGGTTAAAGCAAAAGATTTTCCAACGAGCAAGAACACCACCAAGTTCAAAGCGAATGCGCTTATGAAACTTGTTCCGAAACTGAAGAAGTCGAAATGAAAACTCCAATTTTGTTTCGGTATAGGATTACAGTAAAAAGTTTAATTATGGTGTTTAAAATGTACAACTTAAAGTTATCAGCGTGCTATCCCTTGACCATACTAAGTCGGGTGACTACTTACAAAAGTGGGGTCGGATGGGGTGGAAAATAAAGTTTTAAAAATTTAGGATTGTTGGTGGCACGTATAAACAATTTGAATTTATTTGTAGAAAATAAAAAGTCCGGGTGCTTACGTTGCAATTATTTCTTTTTAATTTTAACAATTTTTTTACTATTTTTAACTATAAAAATCTGATGGATTTTGACGGCAGAGAATTTTTGCACAAAAGGTTTCAAATAAAAGAATTTTCTGCGATTTTCATCGGGTAAAAAGCTATATGGCCAATGGTAACGTTACTACGGAGCTTTTCTACTCTTAATCCTTTTTTTTTTTAATATCCAGATATCCACCTTACAGTGACTAAATTTTGGAGTCTACACTTTGACCCCTCAAACTGCAGACAGGTTAAATCGCAGGTTGTGCCCCAAATTGATCAGTGTTCAAAGCCCCTAACTGATCTACTAAAGTGCCAAACAAATCGTTTTCCATCTTTGCATCTTGCCTTCCAGTAGAGCTACTGGCTTACGGGATAATTTCTACTCTTAATCCTTAGTTTGAAATAATGGGGCTGAAACAGGGGCTTTGTTGAGAACATAGGTGTTGGCTTTAGGTATGTGAAGAAAGAAAATGGGTAGAAACAAGAAATGATGAAGAAGCTCTCTACAAAATGGCGAAAATCTCGCCGATCATCTGAGTTCGATGATGATGGCAATTTTTCTCTCCCCACTCGCGATGATTGCCGTCCCATTGAAACCCAAGGTACCCAATTTCTCAATACACACAACACAAGCGCCTGTATTGTAATTTTCTGTATATATCAATAATTGATTGTTTAATAAATTTCTGTAGTTTTGAATTACTTATGTATCAATATCTGTGAATATTTCTAGAGCAAGAGCAGCTGGTTCGATCCTTCGAGAAGAATCTCGCTCAGCAGTCTCTTCTTTGGAAGGTATGAATATGAAGGATTATTCTAATATTTTATTATATTCTGTTTTGGTTTACTGATTTGCTACTTGTTTAATTCTTGTAGATCGTCTTTGCTGGACTGCTGTTGTGTTATGTGGCTTTCCTCGTTTTCTCAATTTTTCAACAGGCTTATTATCCCTGGGAATTGGTATAATCTTTAAATTTTCATTGTTATACAACACTATGTAATGGACTCTTATTGTTTGTTTATGTTATATGCATATAGACGAATGGAGGTTAATTAGGGTTTAACAAAACTTGCCAATTAATATTAGTAGACAGCATCCTGTTTACCAACAAAATGAAAACTAAAACCTGAGTGGCAAGTCTAAATTCACTTTTATGTCTTTATATGATTGGGATTACTTTGGATATGGTAAAAAATTTTATTTGTAAAGATATGCATAAAACTATCAAGTAGTCCTTATCAAATATGACCCATGGCCTTATTTAAAGCCAAACTGGTATGGCTTATTTTTGTCTTGAATTTCAATTTGTGTTCGTACCTTGGTTGAACACTCAGTTTTCTTGAGCTTGTACTGCGTTCAGTTTGAAAATTACCAGGCTGAGTTTGTGAGCTTCTGGTGGTCTTGGGTTTATTCACTGTCCTAATGAATGGTGAAGGGATTGCTGTATCTTAGTGTTATTCTCTGTGTTCATGTTTCTTGTTCTATCTAATGGGCAGCGTTATCATGCATATTTCATGTACGAGGTTGATTCGTGGAGCATCATCTCTGCAGGTTTGGGTCTTCCTCTTAACAATTTGTTTCCTGTTATTTGGCAGGTGAGTTTCTAGCCCATGTAATGCATAGGAGGAATGATGTTATAGGTTCACCACTCTAATGCATTTGTTTCATTACTATTTTCACATGGTAGTCTTGCACTGTAAAAGAAAGATCTTGGATAACAAATTCACTGTGTGGGGGGTGGGGGTGGGGGTCATGAAAATGTTTAAGTTGCATTGCGTTATATGATTGCCTATATTACCTCCAGAAATTAAACAAAGCAATGTCAAAGACGAAGTCCTTGCATGTCAAGCCGCATGTATTTATTGGTGGTTTGGGAGGAGGGAGGGAGGGAGGGGGATTCATCTGAACTATTTCCAGGTGTTCGTCTGCCAACAAGTTGTCATTGTATTATATTTCCTTTTTAAGGAGTAAAGATATGGTGTACATTGGAAAACATCTGGCTTGATGCTACCATATAAATTAACATTGTTCTCTATAATTCCAACAGAATTATCTAGCAGAATATCTTTCATTCATTGACGTGTCTTATTATTTAGTTTTAAAATTATGGCTTACCAAGATGATCCTTCCCTTAACCATGCTAACTCAAAGCTTCTCACAGAGTGGGCTGCTGTTTTAGTGTGCTTCATGGTCAGCATTGGGCTACTACACAATTCAAAGCACCATCGTAGATGGTTTTGGTATTCCTGCATCCCTGGTATATTATCAGCGGTCTTCTGGTTACACCATATGTTGAGGTAACCCATAACCAGTTAATTCCTTATGCAAAATCCATATTCAAATTATCATGGCTAATGTTAAGGATCAGAATGGGATTTAATCACATTACATTTTTAGTTGTGTTTTTCTTCCAAACAAGAATTCATTTTTATTTTTCTTCCTATGCCAATCCTGCACGCTTGATTCTATAATTCAAATGCCCCCATCAATTAGCAAGAACACATTCCAAAAAATACCTCGTAATTAGTATCCAGAATATCCAGACTTATCCATTTGACATCTGTGCTGCAGATTGGCAAAGTTTAAGTGGGATATCTTGTGGATTCCTTTCGGGCCATTGAGGTAAACCATGGTTTAAACTCCATCTCAAATTCAACATACAGTTAATTCACTAAGTATTGAGGTAACCATTGTTTCTAAAATTGTAGTGCATCTGGCATCTGCCTCTATGTGGACCATTTACTCAACGAGTCGTCTGAAGAAGTAAGGAAACTTCGGGAATACATGTATGCTTACAAGGCAAGTTAACAACCACACTCTTACTAAGTTCAACGAGAATGGATATGAGATATAGAGTGGTTGTCGGAGTTCTTAAGAATTCGGTAATTTGATTTAAGCTTCAAAGAACATGCACAATTGGGTTTATATGCCATCAATTTCTCTATAGCAGTGCTTGTATTTCCAGCTAAAGTTTTGAACTGTGCCTGAGATGATATGAGATTATGATTGTCGTACTAATACGAATATTTAGCAGAATGTGTGATTTTTATTTCAGACTTTTTAGTTAAATCTCTTGCAAAATGGTCTGTACTAGTAAAAATGCAATACCATTGTGGTCAGCATATTTCTTTTAGATATAATTTGTACATCCAAGCAAATTACATAAATTAGTAGGTTCATTAACAATTAACAATATTTGCACTGAAATTTTAATTTGCCCAAGCAAATTGATATTCTTAAGTTACAAACTGAAGATCCATTTGTTTATTGTAAGTTACAGCACTTGAACACAAATCAGAGAGAAAAGAAACGAAATTTTAAAGAAGGGCAAATCTCAGCTTTCATTTAAAATATATATATATATGTGTGTGTATATATATATATAAACTATTTTTAGGGTAAATTTACTTTTCTAGTAACATTTCTTTTATTTATTCACAGTGAAACGTATTGAATACAATATTTCTTTGTTTTGAGAAATTAAGATCATCAATTGAAAAATCATTCTTCTTTGCCCAAAGATATTTTTATGCGTCGTCTAAAGGCCTTTCCTTCTAAGCTTGAATAAAAATGGGATTTTTAGAAGATAAGCTGCACTGGGCAATATTATTAAATTGGGCAAAAAAGAAGTTAAAATATTGTCTATCAGAATATTTGGTACAACATACCCAAACTAAAGATGTCCAAGTGCCTTCTTACAATAGCAATCAACTGCCAAAGACAACACGTCCGGCCATCGACTATTGGCTTTGAGAGCCCTAACTGTTCTTTACAATCCAATCACGGTAACTCAAGTTTGCAAAACTATCTGAAGAATAGTGTAGTGTCTTTCATGTTTGGCTACAAGGAAGAATACCGTTACAATTTAGAGATCTCGACTCCATGAACATTCAGAATAACATGTACAACTCGGGTTTTACCTATCTACAATGGAACGTGAATCAAGTCTGCTCCTCAGAGTCTCAATATAAAATGCTATTCTAGATCGCGTCAAAATCTTTCCTTCTAAGATGATAATCCTCGTCTTAAAAGATGGCATCATGAGGATCTCAGTGCACTTCGTGAGCGTTTCCATAAACTAAGAGCTAAAATGGCAAAACCTGCAATGGCAGCGAAAATCTGCACCAAGAGAAGTAATGATTTAAGAGATTGGAGAATTCGAAGAACACAGGGAAATTCGAAATGAAATTGAGAACAGAAACAGAATCTCATAGGAGAAAACCACAAGTAATGCAAACCAGAAGACTCCATACAGTAAGGCAAACTAGTCATGATCAGTTTATCAGTGGCAAGTGGGAAAAATGAGTTGATCCTTCCTTTCGAGATTCTCGTCAATTTTATGCAAGTACAAGAAGATGCTGGAAGATAACGAGATGAAGCCACTAACCTTTGCATCTCTAGAATATTGAATTGGCATAGAGCGGACAAAAGATTTTAGGGACTTCAAATGAGAAGCCTGAGGCATTAATATCACTACAGTGTACTGCTCTTTGCAAGGAAAAGGGAAAATCTTTCGCAGTGCCAACTGAGCTGCTACTGGTGTCAAAGAATTTCTTACTTTGGAACGACCCTCGTCCAGAACCTGCCAGTTAGATTTAACCAAAATTATGTTTGTCCACTGGAAATGAAGCTTTTCAACACCTACTATTGGAACACGTGAATACTTGACATAGGAAACAGAGACTTTTGCTGACTAAAGCAGACCACAATCAGAATGCTAATGACTTAGAAATGCCTCAACGAAGCAAATGGAGATAAACCAGCATAGAAGCATAATTTCAACTACATTTATTTATCTGAATGGAAGTTGTGCAAAATCACCCAAAATATAGAAAAGTCTGCTAATATATCAATTCGAAGAAAATGAATACAAAGCCAAAATTCCAAGAAATAAGCATGAAGCAGTAGTATTTAACAGGGAGTATAAACAGAAAAATATAATCAACCTTGAATGCAGCACCAACATCACCATCAAAAATTCTCGACTGGTAGCTGTGCAAAATCCTCTCCAGCCAATGATAGTTCTCCTGAAAGTATGAGAAGATGACAAGGAATCAACAACAAGAGCAATATACAGTCAATCAGCAATTTCGCAGAAGTTCCACAAAAAAATCTTTTGACTAAAATTTCATGACTCTACAATGTAAACTAACAAACGTTGAATGGCTTCTTTTGTCATTTGCCCTAAGAAACTAGTTGGAAGGAACTTATCCTGGTTAATGCCATGACATTACCTGTAATCCATTTTCATGAGCCCTCTGCTCAATTTCAAGGATGGCCAAAACATCATCATCATCAGGTCCCTCCTCCTGAAGACGTAGAATTTCATCCAACGCAAGATCGACCTGTGAATTTTATTGCCATGTGAGATTTACCAACTTAATTAGAAAGTATGGGTCAGAGTCTGCATAAAAGGCTCACCAACGTAGATGAGATGTCTGGATCGCAAGAAAAATTAACACTTATATCACCAAGAATGTTACCAAGTCTTGAAGGTTTATTTCCACCAAGGAACACGGAAACTCCAGCAGAGTATATCTGAGACGTGGTTTCCTCAAAAATTACGTCAAGTATCTTGGAAAATTTAGTAGATGCACAAAAGGACAAATGCACAGACCTGTCCATGCTTAAAACGAAGTGCTTGTAATATCTTTGTTTCGAGAAGCTTGCTCATGAATCCTACCATGTGAACATCTTCCATCTGCAATAATCATAGAAGAAAAAACATAATTATATTTTTACGCGGACTAACAGAAATCCCATAAAAGTTCAAAAGGCCTATATTGCAAAGAAATACCATATTTTCGTTCTTAAACTCGACAGGAAAGCACAGCTGGACAGAGCACTGGGCTTCCACCATAGGACTGTGAACAACTTCTCTGAAAGAATGAGTTGTATTAATGGGAATGAACTTTTACACCAGAATGTAACATGAAAGCAAGATAAGATACAAAGAAGAAATACATGGCTACTACACCCAACAGTCCCAATACACAGAAGCAAAGAAAAATTATCGCCCAGAGAAATATTTTAGGGTAAATAAGTAAACCTCAATGAGGTTGATGACAGTTACTAAGACACCCTCTCTTGTTTTATAAGTTATAGAAACCTCCTGCATTAATGTAAATTTCCCATTCTACTCCTTTCTCTCATGCTAAGTATAAAAAATTAATTTGTTTTCTTATTCATCGTTTTCTTAATTCTAATTTACACAAAATAAAACTGTTTTAGTTTAAACGAAGCTAACTTTTATATCTATATTTTTCAAAAGTGATTTCATTTCAATCATATGTTTGTTAAAATTGAGTTCTCATTTTAAAAAAGAAGAAATGATTAAATTAAACTTGATCCAAAATATTTACTAACAAAAGAAAGTAAAAGAAATCTAGCCTTAAACCTTTGATGTCAACTTTAATGCATTTTAACTCTTATAGTACTATTATTTTAATATTCTAAACTTATAAGTGTTAAGAGCATAAATATATAATTTAGATAAAATGCTACTAAAGCAATATAAAATATTTAATAGAATTTAACTAACTTTATTAAATTGTTGTTAAACATATTACATATTTTAGGTTGATATAATGATTATTTTCCAATTGCATTTGCAAAACATGCAACTTTTTCAAGAAATAAATCATATTTACAAAATTTTTAATATTATGACTATAAACAGTGATATTTATGTAGTGCGAGTGTGTGTAGCTTTTTCCTAATATAAGAGAATTTGTTACGGAAATTAACCTCAGGGAAGGTTTCTGTCATTTTCAAAAAGAAGGGCGTCCATAATAGTCAGTAATCTCAATGGCCATCTCTGTAATTTAATCTATATTTTCATTGGGCGTATTTTATTTTCCTCTGATAGCACAAGAAAAATATTTGCAGCCAGCAAACACCATTATCAACCATTGGATATATCTGTTATAGAATCAAATGGAAAAGGCCGACCTACCTAATTACAGTAGAAGGAAAAGTAAATGGTAAGCCTTTGAGATCATCACGTGTGAAATTCATGATTGGTTCACATGGTCTAGGGATCCCTCCCTGTATGGCAAATAGAAAACTTGTAAAAACAACACGTGCATGACATCTTGGTCCCCAAATAGTATTTGATTGATGGACTTACCAAATACTGCAGTATTAGAGGGCATGCAATAGTAGGTTCAATATTCCCGACAATGACGACAGTAAAACTTGATGGATCCTTGAAACAGTTGTTGAAGTATTCGCATGCTTTGAATGGATCAACTTTCCGAAGGTCGCCAAGTTTAATTGGCTGCATCAGATGAATTAACTATTTTTTAATTTGTATACTAAAAAGGAAGGCAAAATTCTATAAGGATGTCAGGCTTACCCTAAAAAAATAAGAGTTTCCATAATTGAGCTCCCTCACACGATTTGAGAAGGCAGTGTAAGGATCTCTCTCTTGCGCACGAACAGATTCTTCTGCCATTTGCATCACTATTTTGGCGTCTTCTTCGCCTGGTTCTAGGTTTGTTGTAAAAAGTTGATAGACCAACTGGGAGAGGGAAAGGAGAAAAATATACAGAAAGGGCAATGTTAGCTGGACATCAGATGCATAGAAAAACTGTGTCTTTAGACCTACGGGACAATTCCTAGAGAAGAAGAGCGGTAAGAAAATGTTGAATGCCATCAGAAATGAGTGTCCACACAAATCTTGAAATCATAATTATCAGCAACTTTCCCCATAGTTAACATTGAGCTAAAGACATTTGCTTTGAGAAGATATATATTTCTCCTTGCTATGGGAGTAAAAATCTTGAGCAAGATTTTCAGTAATAACTTAAAACTACAATATCATAAAGTCAGCATCCAGTAGAAAAACTACAGATGAACTTCTAGAATATGACACGGTGAAACATAAACGAGGGTTTAATGCCATCAATAGGAACATACCTGCAATGCAGTTTCCAAGTCTGAAGGTGAGCAATCTCCAGAAAAGCTTCGCATGTAAGCTCCAAGCTTTGTGCCAACCTCAGCTCTTTTACCAGCAAGCATGTCCATGAGCATTGATGGTCTATAACCAAATACACCAATTTCTCCAGCGATAGTTGGACCCATTGAACACGAGAAGTATTCGCATTCTGGGAGTTCGGATAAACCCCCATATGAAAAACCTGTGAA